AACGAGTACGTACAAGCACCTGTATATAGTGGGGAGACGAAAGCACAAGGAAATCAAAGGGGGTCCAAATTGGAACAAAGGTGTCCAAACAGAGACAAGGGGATGATGGAAGTGGAGTGGTACCGAAGGTCATGGGTTAGACTCTGTGGTACATCTGAAAGGAGGTAGGGAGGGCGAAGCCCAGAGGGGCAGGAGGATGAGGTGAAGTGGGGTTGATGACTAACTGGCTAAAATGGAAGGAAGCAGTAGTCCAAATAGGGATGAGGGGAAAGTGCGAAAGATACATTACGAGTGGTGAAAATGCCAAGTATGGTCCATGAAGCTTGGAGGTTGAGAGGCAGGGTTGAAAGTCCAAGAAATATTGGCAATGGTGTTTACATAGAATGAGGTCACCAATGCAATGGACTTAAGCTGAGGTGGAGTCAAAGTCCAAGGTTGGAACCATGACAGGATCTTGGAGCGAAGGTACAAAGCGGTGTCCAAGTATGGGGTACAGGACTGTGGCAGAAGGTCATAACTTTGGTGGAGGTTGGCAGAAGAGGGATGAAGGAGAGGAGTAAGAGGAGTGATGTCAGGTCCGAAGGTGGATATCGGAGCGAATGGGGATAGGGTAGGAGAGGGACGGAAGGTGAGGAGTGATAGGAGGAGTGAGAGGAGGAGTGATGTTTGGTCCGAAGGTGGATATTGGAGTGGACAGAGGTAGGACTCCAGAGGTGGTGAAGCGGGGGGTCTGGGAGTCAGATCAGGATCGGGTATGTATGGATGTGACAGGCACAGCACTCCCCTTGAGTCGCTGAGGCCAAGGTCCCTCCTTGCTAAGTCTCTGGTTCCACTCCGGAATCATCCATACTCGCCCCATTCTAACATCAACCACAACACCTTCCAGATGAGTATGCAACATCTACACTCCCAACTCCAGACCTCTGCTCTGGAATCCTGTTCGCATCTCCATCTCGGAATTCCAGTCTTAGCTCTGACCTCAGACTTTGACCCTGCCTCCATTATACCCATTGTATTGGTTAGTGTCACAACTGACAAATCCTGGGGCTCCATCAGTGACGAATCAATGCCAATAGGTGATTCCACCAACCTGAAACTCATCCTAACCAGCCCCCAACCTGATGTCTGGCCCCCTGTCCTATCAAGTGAGACTTGGTCAACAATCTGACCCCAGACCTTGCCAGCATTCCAACCTTACCTCCAGTTCCCAAGCCCTTGGCACTCCTGGCATCCAGTCCCTCTAGTTCCTCTTGCCTTGTCTCCATCTGAACCACACCCATCACTCCACTATGTGGTCACAGCCATGCACTGCATCCAGACCTCTGCCCACATCTGTACCTCCACCCACCTCTGATGCTTCTGGTTGCCCTCCACACCCTGTGGTCAGGCCAACAACTCCCACTCCCCTCAGGACCTCTGCTGGTCATCTGTCACAGCCCCACAAAGTCCCCACCCTTCTACCACTTCTATCATCTGCACCCCCATTCTTGTGCCCGTTACTCGTGCCCATTAATCACGCCGTTGTCCACCACTTAGCAGCGCTGATAGTGGTTCCTGTCTATGGCCCTGTAGCGGCACCTCCTTCTTTCTCCTGCCACCACTTGAGTTCCTCAGCCATTTGGCTGATACTGTTTTATTCTTATTCATTCGCTTAACTTACTAGCGGTCAATATTGTCGCCGCTGATCTGCTCCTTATTGACATTTGGTTTATTCCTTTATTGACACTTGGTTATTCCTTTATTGACATTTGATTTATTTGTATATTGACATTCTGATCCACCACCATATTGGCACCTAGATTGTCGGCCTATTCATTCTGCCTCCCAACTTCGCCATCCTCTGTTCCATTCATTTCTTCTGTTCCATTTCCCTGGTCCTCATCGCTCTTTTAGTTTTGTCGCACTTATCATCCTGCTCCCATCCCACACCGGACCGATTGGCCCCTTCTCTGTTCTCCTTTCACACCCATACTTGTAGTTTACTGTCGATGTACCTCAGTTTGAATATCAACTAGAAATCCCCCCAAAGTACTCTCTCTTAAGTTTGCCTCTGTTAGAACTGGGCGAGGGCGGACGATTCCGAGGGGAACCGGAGACTTAGCAAGGAGGGACCTTGGCCTCAGCGACTCAAGCGGAGCGCTGTGCCATTGCTGTTTGTCCATTTGGTCCTTAATTTCATAGGAGGTGAGCAGGAAGTCTCTAGGGGGAATTGTCAGGGCACGCCCGCCTGACCTGGCCCCACCTAACCCGGTGCCCCACCATCCACTCCTCCCGACCTCCCCCCTCTTCCCCTTTTCTCCCTTCCCTTCCTTCCTCTCCTTCTTTTCTATTCTCTCCCCTCTTTATTCCTTTCTTATCACATGGACGACTTCCTTTGTATCAATGTACCATTGACCCGGCCGCAGTGTAACGCGCCCGAACCCGGACACACCGGACGACCCCCTGCACACCGGACGCTCCTAGGACCTCTTACGGAGGTACCCAGATGGAGGTGGCTGTGCGCTCGGATGATGTGGCGCTTCCCACGTGGCCTTCAACCACATGTATATAAACACAGCCTAAGTGGGAACTGAGAAGCAACCTTCTTCTCACATTTCCCACTTTAGGCAAGTAGCTTACACTTCCCTTGATAATGACAATAACACATTTCCCACTTTAGTCTTAGTGGCCAGGGACCCTTGTCTGCTTCGGGCCTGCTGCTACGCACGCCCGCGTCATACCTACCGGACCCTCAGCCTCGGGCGATACACCCGGGCACTCTCGACCCCGGGTCGGTCCCTGACAGGAATTTCAGGTCGATTTTAGACTAAGGACTAAAACGAGTATGTACAAGCACCGATATAAATAATGGAGAGGGTGAAAGCACAAGGAAACAAAGGGGATCCGAATCAGAACGAAGGCGTCCGAACGGGAACAAAGGGATGACAGAAGCAGAGCGGTACCAAAGGTCATAAGGCAGGACCTGTGATACGTCCGAAAGGAGGTAAGGAGGGCGAAGCCCAGAGGGGCAGGAGGACGAGGGGAAGTGGGGATGATGACTAACTGGCTAGAATGGGAAGAAGCAGCAGTCCAAATAGGATGAGGGGAAAATGCGAGAGATACATTACAAGCGGCAAAAGAGCCAAAGATGACCTGTGGAGCTCGGAGGTTACGGTGGTTACGGAGGTGGGGTTGAAAGTCCGAGGAATATTGGCAATGGTGTTTACGTAGTATGAGGTCACCAATGCAATGGACTAAGGCCGAGGTGGAGTCAAAGTCCGAGGTAGGAGCTATGATGGAGTCTTGGAGCGAAGGTACGAGCAGTGTCCGAGTACGAGGTACAGGACAGCGGCAGAAGGTCATAACTTGGTGGGAGGTCGGCGGAAGAGGACCAGAGGGAAGAGGGAGGAAAGAGGGAAGAGTGGTGGAAAGGAGAGTTGTCAGGTCCAAAGGTGAGTATCAGAGCGGACGGGAGAAGAGTAGGAGGATGACGGAAGGGTGGAGGTGTTGTGAGGAGGGAGCAGAGGAGTGGGAGGAGGAGTAAGAAGAGGGTGGCGAGAGGAGTGGTGTTCGGTCCGAGGTGGGTATCGGAACGGATGGAGATAGGACAGGAGAGGGACGGAGGAGTGGAGGTGGCATGGGAGGTGAGAGGAGGTGTGGTGCCAGGACCGAGGGTGAATATCGGAATGGACAGCAGTAGGGTGTCATATCCATACAATCCTGACCTCCGCTCTGGGCTCCCGGAACTCCGAACTCCGACTTCCGGAGCCCTACTTCCCTTCTGTCACCTTCTCCTTGCCGACTCCCAAGAGGTTACCCCACCTCCGGCTCCAACACCACCTTTGGTCCGACTCCGGAACATTCCGGGTCCGACCCCAACCTCGACACCTTCCAGATGAGTATGCAACACCTATGCTCCCGACTCCAGACCTCTGCTCCAGAATCCCGTTTGCATCTCCGTCTCTGGAACCTCCGGTCTTAGCTCCAACCTCGGACTTTGACCCCACCTCCGCTTATACCCATTGTATTGGTTAGCTCATTCCATTTAATTACGTTTGCCAATATTCCGGAGTTTAACCTCCGAGTTCGGACTTTCCGGACTTACTCCGGACCTTGCAACTATTGCATTGTCCATTTCAATTCCGCTATTCTCCCTCATTCCTATTTGGGCTGCTGCTTCCTTTCTATTCAGTCAGCTAGCCATTCCCCACTCCCAACCTCCTTCCTTCCTCCTTGGGCCTTGGCCCTTCATTCCTCCTTTGAAAAACACCATTGAGTCAAACCCTTGACCCTTGGTGTTGTTCCTCTTTCCATCTCCCTTTGTCTCCTTTTGTCCTACCCTTGTTCCTTTTGATTCCGGACCCCTCCTTATATACAATGTACCTAGTAACTTGTAACCTCAGTCCGAAATCGACATGAATTCCCCCCAAGAGACTTTCCCTCTGCTAGATCCGAAATTAGGGACCCCTAGGACAACCAGCAATGGCACAGCGCTCCGCCTGAGTCGCTGAGGCCGAGGTCCTTCCACGCTAAGTCTCCGATTCCACTCCGGAGTCGTCCGAATCTGCCCGTTCTAACATAGGGTAGGACTCCGGAGGTGGTGAAGAAGGAGGTCCGGGAGTTGGGTTGGGATCAGGTATGCATGGATATGACAGCCTCTAAGTTTCATCCCCACCTGAGTAACGTCGCCGCAAGGTCCTCCTGCTACCCTGAAATACGGGACAGCCTAGAACGTGTGGCACAACACTCCAGCTGAGTCGTTGAAGCTGAAGTCCCATCTCGGAAGATGCCTTGCAATGGAGTTGCACATTAGCTAAGTGAACACTCATGCCACTGCACTCCGCTCCACTTCCCATGATCACCTCAAATACCGTTTCTGACATCATCATGCTGTCCTTGTGACAGTACTGATGGGTCAACCTCTGTTTTGTGGACTTGTGTCGGCGCTGCACCGACCCCACTTTCTGATTTGCAAACTTGTATCAGCACGGCATGCTGAACTCTGCTTTTGCTCTGGCCTTTTGCCACTCAGCAGCTTATCATTCATTCCTTGCCAAGTGCCTAGTATGCTTATTCATCCATTCGCATAACTTGCCAATATTGGTGTTGATCTGCTTTTATTGACATCAGGTTATTAACCCCATTGTTCTTCCCATCAATAACCCTCATCACTCATTGTTGCTCATTTATTTCTCACTTCCATCTTCCAGGCTCTTGTCCTTCATTCAGTTTGACAATCCCTGCTTATTTCCACACTGGACTGACTGGCCTTCTATGTTTTCCTCCTGCCTATTTATATCCTGTAAATACTTTCAGGGACCTCAGTCTGAAATCAACTAGAGTACCCCCCTGTCTGGTCTGAGTCCCTCCTTCTGCTTCCTCCCCTCTGAGTCTGTGCTCACAGAGTCTGCACTCCTCCTATGGGCCTGCTCTGCCAGCAAGTCTTGTTTGAAGTCCACTGTAAGTGTCAGTCCATAAATAAGGGATCTCCCCCAGACATTGAAAGAGGGCTTGCAGCTCTCTATGCCAACCAAGCTCGTGGGGCCAAACTCCCTAAACTCCTACTTTCTTGACTAAACTTCGCTATGCTCTCAATCCTTAACTCCGGTGTGGGTTCTCTGGGATTTCCGCAAGGTCCAGGCTGTCAGGGCATACCTGCCTGACCCGGCCCCAGCTGACCCAGCCCCTGTTACCCACCTGACCTGGTCCCCCACTACCCACTCCGGCTGCCTCAGTCACACCGGCAACATCTGCACTCATTACTATAATTACAGCACTGTACGCTCATTTCCTTTGTGACCAACTATGGGACCAAAGGGGCCTGCTGCTGCGGATCCAGAACTCATGCCACTTCCAAAGTGCCCAAGTCATTCATCAAAGCTACCAAGCTGAACCACCCCAGCCCATCATGTTCAGTGGCTTAAGAATCCCTGTCATCTGGTATCATGCCTGCTTAAGAATCCAAACATGTGGTTGAAACCATGCGGCAACTCTATTCAAGCTGCAAGACTGAAGGGCAATCCACTCTCCATGCCTAACATCTTATTCTGTCCCAGGTGCCTAATGGTGAGAAAAGAGTGTGTGAATTCTATCTTGAACCAATACACTACAGCTATATACATGTGTAGTAGATAGGAAGTGCCAAACATGGCACATTGACCAAGCATGATTTTTTTGCAGGCCCGGGACCTCAGCATGACTAGATTCAGAGTCAGCTAAGTAGTGTGAAGATGTAGCTTGAGTACCAGAAGCTTGACTCGAAGTGGAAGTGCTGGAGGAACTGGAA